TGTATATATATATATATATATATATATACATATATAATGAAACCATGTACTCAATATTTATCTCATCATTTTTGTAACAAATGTGTATTATAAACTTCTTATTCTTTTGTATATAAATGCATAATACCAGTGATTAGCTGTAATGTGATTATTACTTGGCTTGTATTTGATCTTTTTGTGCATGTTGTTTCATTTCAGGCCACATTACAATGGGATTATCCCAACACACAGCTCACCCTCAGGCTCAGGATTGTCTAGTAGTGGTGAGCAGAATGGATCTGTTTCTCCTGGTGTGAGTGTAATTACCAACCAAATTCCAAGAGATGCATTGCGTAGTTGTAGCAATAACAACAACAGCAACAACAATAATAATAGCAGTAGCAGCACAAGGTAAGAATTTGGATATAAGTCATTGAAATAGAAAACTGGTAACAGTATCATACCCTTGTTAAAAATCTTCGATAGGAACTGAGATGACCTGATAACTGATGTTCGTGATTTTTATCACTTCTTTCAACCAAATATCAAGGCTGTGCCATGGAATAAATAGAATAAACCAGTCATTTTATAAACATTTTCTCCATAATTGCTGTTTTTCTCTTATTTTAGAGGTTTGTATGAATATTGTCACTCTTTTCCATTTAAATTTTCTGATTTGCTTTTTAGCAATGCTATTATGTACTTTTCTGATATGACTGAAGGTTCAGTTTTTATTAATGACATGTGGAGTATTTCTCTTCACCATTGCTTTGGCCCAATGAATGAATGAAATGGTGCATACCAAGGATAAAGATGGTCAGAACAAGAACCTTACCACATACATCTGTTTAGTACATAGTATTATAATGCATGGAACCTTACTTTTGTTCTTCATTATGACATAGTGCTTAGAAGACATGTAGACAACTTCATCTTTTTACCAGATATGAAAAACCACAATAAAAGTGAGGCAGTTAAGTTTCTTATTATTTAACTTTTGTTTACAACAGAGAACAACGTGAACAGCGGCGTAGTTTGAGGGTTTCAGATGAGCTTCAGAATGGTGGTAATCGTCGTGATGGTACAGGAAGCCAGGTGTCTGCATCGAGACGACGTTCATCAAGACAGCAGCGCAATTCACAGCACCAGCAGCAGAATGGGAGCAGTTCATTTGGTCGTGTCCACCAGCCCAGCCAGCCTGGTGATCTACCTCCTGGTTATGGTGAGAGTTAGTAAACGGATAATATTTGTCTTTATCTGTTGTGTCCTTTGCTTTCATTTGACTATCCAGTCCTCTAACCTTTTAATGCCCTTTTCTGCTATCTTTCTTTCCCATCATTTCCAACCCTCAGTCCCCATCTTTTTCTCGCCTTGCTTTCCATCCCCTGTAAACATATTAGAGATTGCATCAATCCAAATAGTATAAAACTTGAAGCTTTGCAGTGACTCAACTCAGTAAAATCTTCTTGGTATGTATTTGTTAATGAGAATACATGTTGGAGGAAGTCTCCTATTTTAAGTTGTTTTGCCAACAATTGGGTAAACTAACAAGAATTAGTATAGTGAATTATTATTGGTATTGAATCTCAGCGTCTCTGAAATACTGAGAAGTGGTAGCCATTATTCTACCACATTTATTAGAAGTTATAAGTATTGTGCAGACCATTACTTATTTACTCTAGTTTTTTGTTGTGTTACATTTGTACAAAAATGTCAAAATGATAAAAATGCTTGGGGAAGTATACCATATTTACTCACGCACCTCACACACTTGTATAATCCACACACACCATTTTTCAAGGGAAGTAAAAAAATATATACAGTGAAACCTCTATCTATCGTTCCTGGAACTATCGTTTTCACGGATGCATTGTCCGTTTTGTTCGGTCCCGGATACATCCCATATAAAATAATGTTACATTTTCCCGCTTCTATCGTTCCTCGAACTATCGTTTTATCGCATCGATCGTTCAAAAATCTTAGTCCCGGCCCACAATTTTCCCGCAATGATCGTTCCTGAGAATTTAAAATGCTGGGTTTAGAGATAAATTAATACCGAAAGACGCATAATGTTTTTGGAATACACAGTAGCGGTAACCTGTTATGTCGCCCAACCAGCACATTCTTTTGGAATGAGGGTCAGCGGTGCAGGGGTGATGGTTGGAGTGAATAGTGGTGCCCATTGTCAGAAATTTTATGAGTTTAATTAGGGTGCACTCATATTTCGTTCCAGCGATGCCAGATGGCATGTGCAGTGTGAATTTCTTCACAAATGCTTTTATTAGGTGAGGAAGAGGAAGACGACGAATGCGAGCCCGAAGCTGTGCCGAGTTTTGCCGAAGCATTGGAAAAAGTGAAGTCGTTCTTTTGTGCGCATAATATTAGTGAACGTGATGAGGAAAACATTTTGAACGTAGAAAGGGCTCTGTTTGTCCTAAAACGCAAAGTTTCGACAAACCAGTTGTCCATTAAAGACTTTTTGGTAAAAAGAAGTAACTTTGAAAGAGAAACATTGTTTTTTTAAAAAAATTTAATGCTTTCCCGCAACTATCGTTTTCCCGTATTTATCGTTTTTATTTCCCACCCCCGCCGAAAACGATGCACCGAGGTTTCACTGTATATATTTTATTGAAAATTTAACATATTTGAACATTAAAGGGCAATGGTGAAGGGATGTAAGGGGCTATTCCTTCCAGGAAATGGCAAGCTTGAGAACAGTAGCTTTACTGGATCCTGCAAAACAAAGGCCAGGTTAATTATATTATTTTTATTTTCTTGTATAATATAGAGGTATGGTAAATAAATGTATTATTCACAAGAACTATAATTGTTCTTATCAGCTTTTTTCATCACTATACGGATCATTGATGAAGCTCTCAGAATCTTCTGTGACCTACAACTGATCATCTTCAGTCCCATCCAATTTATTTGAAATCCGTGCATTTTTTAAAGCTTTCTTCAGTTGAAGCTGGTGAAATATGGGACCAAGCAATTTTTATCCAATTGCAAAGTTGGCCAAGTTCATGTTTCTTAATTCTCCCAGAAAGTGTCTCATGCCTACCACCCACCATCCAATTCATGTATAGACATATTAAGTCGGCCTAGAGAGGTCTATTGATGCACACGTCCAGAGGCTGCAAAATTTACGTGAAACCTCTGGGAATAATTACCTGGTGGTCATTTATTATGTTAAGTGTTTTCCTCACATTCTGTATCCTGTGTCCTCAAATGCTGTCCAGAATAAGCATACTGGGAACTTTTAATAAAGAACCTGGTCCATTGCTCCATGCTCTGTACACCCCATCTAAAACCAGTCCATTGTTCATCCAACCCTTTTCCTGAGTCACAATAATCACTTCCAGCATAGAAATTTTCTGTAGTCTATCTTTTCACCACTACATAAAGGGGCAGTTTTCTTATGTCTGCTGTAATGCACATCACTGTATAGTCAGCGCAGTAGTTTTTGGCTGGTGGAGAAGCTGGCGGATGGGCCTAGTCTGTGTACCTGAGGTGACACAGCCAGTGCATTTCTTTTGTTTGGGCATTCAGTCTGATAAGCTTCTCAGTGCAGTCAGCATTATACTATCCCACAAGTGACTCCCTCTTAGCCTTCCCCTTGACAATTTCACCGGCCAAAAACCACTGCATTCAGTATACATCTTATTTTTCATTGCCCCCCCCCCCCCCCCCCCT